ACCGAGACGATTTTCCCGTGTAACGACGAACCCCGTTCGCGAGCGTATTCTCCGGACTCTGGGCGAACGAGAACGTCGAGAAAAAGAACGAGGCAATCGGAGGCTTACCTACGCAGGCCAAAGTCGCGATGGTGTATCTTTTCGATAAGCACGGGCATTCCGGCTTGCAGTAAGTGTCGATATGACGCAGTGGAGGCCTTTCGTGTTCCGCGAACGATTCGTACGAACCCTGTCTACTGTATCCTCTTTCCTCTTGCTCGAACCCCTTGTTGTCCTTGCTCCCCTCGCGGGGCATTTCGAATTCCTCGTAGGCAGCATTGTCTCTTCTGAACCTAACGACGCACGGTTTCATCGGTGAGTTTTCTCATTCTCGAGGTACGCGTACTCGCGAAGATGCTCGGGATTATTTCCCAGCAGCATTTTCGGACAGTTTCGTTCGATGTTCCTTTGTTTTTTCTCCTAAACCGCGCGCCGATCGTTTTCGAGGGAACGCGCGTCGCTCGTTCGCTAGAACGACGCAACTCGGAGATATTCCAAACACCTTGACATAACCGTTTTTGCAACGAACGAATAATATAGAATCGAAGCGTTCTCGCGCGATCGATTCCGCAAACAGCCTGGAACGTAGAAACATCGAGTCGCGGCATCGTCCCGGCGAACGAACGGGATGAACGGTAGAAGATGGTAGAAAGAAGATAGTCCTCGAGTTAAACGTATTCTTAAACGATTTTTCATTCGATACGCGCGAGCATGCGTAACACGTTACCCAGCAAGTTTCTGCGATGCTTTCGACTTGATGTTGTCGCAGGTCCTGAGGACCGCCGCCGCGATTCCGGACATTTTCCAATTATTGGGGTTGCTCTCAGGCCGGAAATGGTTGCGATAGTAATCGGCAGCCCCTGCGGATGAAACGAAATCGTCACCGACCGGAAAAGTGCGCGTTTCCGTGCGACGAACGGTTCCGAAAGTTTCGCTCGACTCGACTCGTCGGCGACTGCGTTTTGTTTCGGTTTCGATCTCCAAAAAAGGTAACGAAACCGAACGACGAGACGTTTCGTTCGTCGGGTTGTCCAAGAAGCTTCCTCGAGTTTCTTTTCCGTCGTGTACGCGATGCAAATATTCGGTACCGAAAGATGGCGTACCATTTTCGCGTAGGACGGGCAACGGTCGTAGCGCGTCGAACAACGATAATTACGAGTAACGATCGGTTTCGGCGACGTAATCCTAAATCGCATCGTTCGACCCGACCCCGAGCGCGGACGGTCCGAAATTTCGGTCTATCCTTTTTCGGCTGTATTCTCTCCTTTAAACGTCTACGCTACGCCCGTATCGAAGCATTCGTTCCCCGTATAGTATACAGCGTATAGAATCGTAAGGGGAACGCGCCGCGCCGCGTCGCGCCGGAGTAGGGCTGTTTATTTGGAGTGGTAGTCTCTCCAACCCTAATCCTCGAATTCTCCAGGGAACATCTTCGGAGGGTGGAAAATGCGCGAAGAGACGCGCAGCCTCTCTCCCTGGGTCATATTTTTCATTCGAGCGTTTCGCCGAAACACGAAACACGACTCGACGCTGCGAGGGTTGGGACGAAACTTGATTAGCGTTAAGCGCCAAGTTTTCAACGTTTTCGTGGGGAAACGATTCGTGAATTTCTATAGGACGCCTCGATGTTGTACGAGCGGAACGAGTTACGCGAACGTTCGTGGAACGAACGATTTTTTTTGTAGAACGCATCGACGTTCGCAGGCGATTCGGTGGGATTCGGTGGGATTCGACGCGATTCGACGCGATTCGACGCGATACGACGCGATTCGACGTCGACGAAATTTTCTCCGCGTCGTTTGGTTTTACGGAGCGGATCGATCGGAGCATTTCCGGTTTCGAACCCTGAAACGGTCACGCTTCCACGGGAGTCCCGAACAAAAAATGGCAGGCGCGCTCGACGGAACGATCGCGGAGAGACCTATCGCGGGACAATGCCACTCGGATATTAAAACGGCACGCGACGGACAAAAGACGCGAAATGCGCAGCACGTGTGTTAACGAATTGGGGTGGCACCGCGAAGATGAAAACGGCCGATTTCGCTCGAGGGTGTCCTCCCATCGATTCCCTCGGGAATGCTCTTTATTTCGAACGAAAAACCGTACGACGTCGCGCGACGCGTTCGATGGAGCGAGCAACGAATTTCTACCTTCGTCGTCCGCTTCGGTTCGATTTTCTTGGAAACGAAACGATCGGTTCGAAGTTTGAAGAGACGTCGTTCGCACGAATTCTCGTCGATTTTGCGCGTCACCGGAAATTTCAGATTCATCGACGAATCCTCGCAAGGCGGACGCTTTCCACGATCTCGTGGCAGCCGATTCTAACGCAACGATCCATCGTTATCCCTTCGTCGTTTCACGTCCGAATCTACTTCTTCGACGTCGACTCCGACCTTCCGATCGAACTCGATCGATTCGAACCGAAAAAGGATGTGAAACCGAACGAACCGCCGTGTCACCGGCGTCTCTCTCGTTTGCCCTATATCCAGGACTCTGCCGCTATTCCGTGAAAACTACGGTCGAACGAGCAACCTGGGAGAGCCCGATCTTGCCGGATCGATACAAAACCGTGGCCGACGTCCTTTCGATCCCGGCCATTACCGAGGTCCGAGTAATCCCAAGGAACGATCTCTCTCACTGCACTCGAACAAAGGCACGATCTCGCGAACGCTAACCCGAACGGACCGTGGCAACCCCTTCGTCGAACGATCCGATCACTTTCGCGCACAAACGGCTCGGCCGCGGACCCCTATTTTATCCAAGGGGTCGTCGACGGATTCGGGAGTTCGTCTTCGACGAAGCCGAAAATTTCGCGACCTTGGAGATTCACAGTCGGGCACTCGGAGATCACTCCGCGTATCGATTTCCGAACGCGAACGCGTCTCCGTTTCTCGAGGAAGCCTCTCTTCTCGGGACACGCTCGTTCGCGATCGCGCGACGTTCTTTGTCCGTTTGAAAAATCGGCGAGAAATCGAACGTCGAAACGAAGGAAAAGAAAAGAAAAGAAGAGAGAAGGAAAGAGAAAGAAAAGAAATCGAAGAAATCAAAGAAAATCAGAGAAAAGAAATAGAAAGGCAGGACTCACCAATAATTAAGTCCAGATATGGTTACGAGAGGAGCGGGTTGCGGTAGCGCGCGGGGTACGCGACGGAGAACGTCGTCGACGTCGCCTGACGTCGTCGGCGGCGGCCTCCACGGCAGCAGCAGGGTACCGCGGGTTCGGCTCCTGATCGCACGGCGTCCGCGCAACGCAGCGCCGCGACGCCATTGGCCCGGACGCCGCGACGCATCGATACCGGCGTCCAATCCGGCCCGGTTGCAACCCCTTCGGATCGACCCCAGGCGGGGCTTTGTACACCGGCGTGTCGGACTTTTGCAACGATAAAACGTTACGCAGGAACAAGGAATCGTAACGATATTAACGTCGATGTCCGGGCATCTTGGACTACGAAAACGCGACGGATCCCCCGCGCGCTCCTACGTACCTGTTCGCGCGACGGCTATAATTTCGGGCGAGAGACTGGTCGCGTCGCCTCGACGCTCCGATCACCGACTCGAGGGCGAGAGTGAAATCGCTGAAAAATGGGTTGTCCGAAGTCGATTCGGTTTAGCACGCCGAACAACGCGCGCGGTAATCCAACGCGCGCTTCTTTTAGTCGCTCGTCGAATATCTCGTCTAGAGCAACGAACGCGGACTCGATTCTTTCTTCTCGGACGATTTTGTCCGGTACACCGAAGACACGATTTTCGAGAAGAAGCTGCGCGCATCTTTTTACCGAGTCCTCGCGGTAGTCGAGACGAGAGACGCCGCGAAGATCGTACACTCGATTTTCTTCCTTTTCTTCGCGGTAGATACGCGGTCGTAACGTTCGACGAGCCGAGTAGAGAAGAACATCTTTTAGGACAAAGGTTTCCGAACCTTTCCGAAACGATCGGAAACAAAAGCTGCGTTACGCTTCGTCCTCGAGGCCTCGATTTCAGCAATAATTTCCACGATACGCGAGAAACGTCGAATTCGCGAAACCGCGTAAATACAGGAACATCGTTCAACCTTTAAATTTCAGAGTTCGTTCGCGAGCTCGAACGATCGATAAGCGGCTCGCGAAGGATAAAGAACCAAGATTATCTAATAGCATTGCGCTATACCGCGAAATAAACGCTTCGACGAGATCGTCGAACGACAGGACGTGGTTTTCTTTTACGAATTCGTAAGATCGTAGAGGGTCCTACGAGTCTCTTCGGAACCGAGCACGCGTCTACATTTTTGTAGAAGAGAATTCCGTTTTCGTCGAGCATACGCGAATAAGCACGCGAAGCGAATCGGACGCTCGCGTTTGGGACAAATACTTCTACCGAGCGCTTCCAACGCGTTTCGATGTTTTTCAATGCGTCTACGCGCATCGTAGAACCTAGAACGAAGTAGAAACTATTTTCAAGTTGCACAATTGTCAACATTCGTCGAACGAAACACCGTAAAACCGGTTCTACACGAACCTGTTGATACGAGACAAGTTGTTTCGTACGATCGGATGGTTCGTACAGGAGTTCACCTGTCTCCTACCAGATATTTGAACCGGTACTCTCGAATTACACGGTACCGACCATCGAGCTTTTTCTTGTTCCGGGGACGTCGAGAAGAGGGATGCGAATCGGGAGAGACGAGGGAGAAACCCGGGGGTGCCGACGCGACGCGACGGCTCGAATCTTTCGCTAGCCGTTAGGAGTCGACTCGCATTGTTACAAACACGGAGTAACCGGTGCGGGTACCCTCTCCAGTGGTTGCCAGGAAATATCGATCTGGCCGGAGGGATGGATGCTGCTGCTCTCAATGGTTGGACTACAATACTCTTTATCTGCTCCGCGCTCCGCTCCGCTCGGCGGAATCCGCGCGCCTCGAATAACGCGGGGGGCTTTCGCTATCGTTCGCGGCAAGAAACCGTCGCGAAATTTTCGTCGGCGAACTCGCTCGGCCGCCGACCATCGCCGGCGACGTTCGCGCTTCCTCGATTAGCCGACGACGAGCAACGTTATCGAACGTTAACGGTTACGGCGTTGGGTTCGACGATGGTGCGCGTAAGGAGGTACGCGACGCGAAGGTGGACGATCGGACTAAAACATTTAATTCGTAGTCCGATCTCTCCGGTACCGTGCTGCGTTCTCCGTTGATTATAATTATTTAATCCTTGTAAATTAAACGAAATACCGCGTAAAGCGGTAGAAAGGTTTGTACGCGATCTACGATTACACGCTTTACGCCGAGAAGCGCGAGAAAGCGGATTCGCGGGCCAACGGAAAAGCGCTTTTCCGCAAGGTTACGGGCCACTTTGTGGAACGATGCTCGCGCGAAAGCAGGCGACAAAGAACACAGTGGCAAGAGTTCGATTAGAGAGAGAGAGAGAGAGAGAGAGAGAGAGAGCACGGAAACGGTCGTCGCGACGCATCGATCTCGTTGGCTAGCTCGAGTTCGAGCCGACCGCGCGTGCATCCGATCGAAATCGTTTGCTCAGCGCATCCTTCGCGCTCTTGCACAGTGCAACGTATTGCAACAATTTCAGTCTGAAGTCGGCGCAGATATCGTTCGCGTATCTTTCATAGTCGTCGTACAAAATTACAAAATCTTCGCCGCGATCTTCGCGCCCTTTGAACAGTCTCGAATACGTCGAGTCTCCATCGGTACGATCGCTCGCGCCGACGAATTTCCACTTTCGTTTCGGACCGAAAACCCTCGGAATATCCGCGACCTCGATTCTCTCGAATACACCGCGTCGGGTCGTTCTCCGACGTCGTTCCCCAACGGCACCGTCAAGGGTGGCTTTCTTCCTTCCGGAAACGTCGCTTCCGCCGGTTTCTCCGGCTTGCCCGGGCCCGGGCTCCGGCCTGTCGCGAACGCGTTGCCCGTCGCGGACGCTGCTGGAACGGGTGTCGCGAATCGCGCGTTCCTCGTTCAGCTTTCCGCTCGAGGCGCTGACCAAGTACCTCTCGTTCTTCAGGAACGTCTTCGACGCGCGCGTCCCTTTGTTTCGCTCCTCCAGCAACAGTCCGCGGAGTTTCTTGCGGATCAAGTACTTCAATCGATCCAGCGACGCCGCCGGAAAGGAACAAAACCGATTTTTGCAGACGCGGTCGGAGCAGTTCCGCGCTCTCCGGCGCGATTTCGGCCGAAGATCCTGCGCGGAGCGGGAATCGCGAATCGCGTGGCGCGTGGAGCGAATCGTCCTCCCGGACTTCGACCTCGGGGAGGATCGACGACGCGGAGATCCGGGCCTCGAGGTCCTTTCGCGGAAATCGTTCTCCGGCAAGCCGTCCGGATCGGAAACGTTCGATCGACGCGGCCGCTCCTCGACGTTCGTTCTTCCGACCGTTTCGCGATCGCCTTCGTGGATCGCCTTTTCGTTCGAAGACGCGATTGTTCCGGAAGATCTATCTCGAATCGACCACGTTCGAGGAATCGTCGGACGAGAAGCGGAAGAACGGCCGAACGTCTCGCGCGCCCTGTCCACGGCGTTGCCCGTTGTTTCCAGTATCGGAGGCGCGGAACGCGATTCGCTTCTGTCGCTCGCTTCGTCCGCGACGTCTCGAATCGAGATTTCGGTTTTGGAAGAGCTCGTTTTCGACTCGATCGACACGGTCACCCTTACGGATCCGAAGTCGATCCTCTCCGCGTCCGAGAGATCCTCGCCGCAGCAGGAACACTTGGAGCCGCGCCTCGGCTCGGCGCGATTCGAGTTCGACGAGCGAACGGAGTCGGCGTTGAATTTTTCGGCGATCTCCGCGCTTCGTTTCGTCACCGGTGCTGCCCCTTTCTTCGTCGGAGCACTCGGCGCCGTCGCCGAATTACTTTTTTCCATTCGAACGACGCTATTTCCGATCCGTCGAATCTCCGTTTTCGATTCCATCGCCGAGTTCGACGCGCCTTTTTCCGAGGAACGCGACCCGAAACCGCTCGCCCCGAGAACGCTTCGCGGTCCGTCGTCCTTTTCGCGCGGATCGCGGCAGAGACGTTGTCGGAGGCCGCGGACATTCGCGCGCTCTTCTCTCGAAACCGTTTGCTCGACCTTCCTCGAGCTGTCCGAGGTGGAAGGGGATTCGGAATCGCGCGACTCCGCGCTCTTCTCCGCTGTTTCCGTATCCGATACGTACTCCGCTTCGGTATCGATCGATTCTTGCGAATCGTTAGCTTCTCGCACGTTTTCGTCGCAGAACGGTAGGGTGACGCGATCGGAGTCCGTTGCGTCCGATTTGCAACGTCTTTCGTCGTTGGTGCCGGCCGGCGAAGCCCTCCGCGGGTTCGCGAAACAAAAAGATACTTCCTTCTCCGGTTTCCCGATCCACGGGAAGTTCGTTCGTTCGCCGGGTAATTCTCTCTCGGCGCGAATCGTCGCGTTCGTCGAATCGCAAGGCGAGCTCGACCCGCGAAACGCGCCGAAACAGCCGTCGACCGAAGCGTCGGAGTTTCCGCGACGTACGAGGTCCCCGCGTCGGGAGCCCGAGTTTCCTTCGCGCGTACGTTCGCGACGCGACTCTCCTTTCGGGTGGCTGCGACGGATCGGCAAACGGGCCAAGAACAATCGAGGCTTCGACGTCCTCGAACGCCGAAGGGTCAGATCGATGAAACCGGATCGAATCTCGCACACGAGACGCGGCTCTTTCGCTTCCGCGTCCTCGAGCTTCTTCAAAATCCCGTTCAAACGGGAACACGCGTTCCGAATTCCGTTTTCGAACTTCCTTCTCGTCGGAACGAGACAGCGCTCCGACAAGGACGGGACCGCCTCGAATATCCGAACGATCAAACGACCGGGTCTGCAGGGTACGGAGACGCTGGTCACTTTTGCCGGAGTCGGAGCCGTCGAACCGTCCTCGCGCGTCGCGCGATAAATCAGAAGTTTCAATTTGGAACAAGCGCGTTCGATCGTTCGACGCGCGTGGTCGCGCGTCTTCGCGGCGCGAGGGTTTTCCCAGTCTCTCGCGTCGCTTTCGAGTCCTCGGCCGCGCTCGGAAAATCTTTTCTCTCGCGCCGATCTCCCATCGTTCGTTTCGTTTCGACGAAGCGAGCTCGCGGCGCGCCTTTCGACGATCCGTTCGGAACACGAATCGACTTCCACTTCCAGATCGCTGCTGCGATCGGTCCCTTTCGGGCGCTCCGCCGATCCACCGTTTCTGGAACAAAAGTATTTCGCGACTCAACGAATCGCGTAGAACTCGACCGTCCTCGTTCGTCGAAAACCGGCTTCGCGAACGTTTCGCGCCGAGTTTCCGAACAACGGAAACGATACGCGACGGCGAGTATTCTCTCGTACGAGGGAAAAGGGCGACGCGCTTCGTTCGGCACGCCCTGGACGCCCTTTTCGTAGACAAATTCTGTAGAATGCTTACGCGCAGCTCCGGGGCAACCAATAATCTTTCTCGTCGATGTATCGGCGGACCTCGATGTTCTTCGAGTCGTTGCGATCCGCGACAATGGCGCGGAGCCCGCGATGGCACATTTTGTCCGCGCCGCTGTTCGCGGCACCGTTGTTCGCGAACCGTCTCGCCGGGCCGGCTTCGGCAGTATACTCGGTCGCGCGCTCGATCGTTTCCTCCCCCGCGGTGGCGTCCTTGCCGAGAAACGCGTCCGTGCGATCCAGCCACTTCTTCACGCACGGAAAGCGTTTCGAGTACCGTGAATTCGGATCGCAAACGAACTCTTTCAGGCCGGAACAAATTCTGCCCTCCAAGCTGTAGCCCAGCATCGGCTTCGCCTTGTCCACGTACCGTCCGCATCCGTCGAGATCGAGAACGAAGTCGAAGTCGAAGTCGAAATCGAAACACCCGTTGTCGTTGTTCGCGCGAGCCGTTCTCTGCGAATAGTTTGCTCCGTTGAAACGGTTATCGAGATATCTCGAGACGGAATCGTCGAGATAAATTATTTGCAATTACGCGCACACCGATATTCGGATAAACGTATTTACCCCCCTCGTGGTCGCTCTCGAAGTTATCGGGTAGAGGAGATCGCGATGAATAAGTAACTCTCGGTATCCGCGTTACTCGTCGAGGTTATAATAACTTGTAACTACGCGGCTCGTTGATTTACCGGAAATATTTCGCCAGCGTCGAGTCGCGCATCCGACGTATCCTCGGCCATTTCGCGGTACGCTTCGCGTACGCTTCCGGATCGTCCGCGTTGCAACGTTACGTCGCGTCCGCGATCGTCTTCCTACATTTATAGCGCGCAAACCCGATATTATTTTACGCGTGTCCGAACGCCTGCTACGAATGCTATGAAGTTAATTGTACGCGCGAAGATGCGTACGTAATTTCACGTTTTGTGCAGGCGCGCGCGCGCGCGCGCGTTCGTAAAAACAGATTTCGATTGCAAAGGGATTCGCTGCTTCGCGCAAAATATCTCCTCGGCCTTTGAAACGTTTTATCGCTTCGAACGTTCTAGCTGGTATTCGTTATCGGTTTTTGCGCCGCGAAACTCGATTTCTCGCGTCCGATGGATGCGAAAACCGGACCGGGAACGAATTTCCCATGGAAAAGTTTACGGCAAATCGATTTCGGTCTACGCCGCTAACAGCGTTAACTCGAGACTGGGGTAGGATAGCAGAATCGAGGGTCCGGCAAATATGCTAATGCGTTTTAGCTCGAGTGCGGTGTTTCGCGATGGCGAGGGTCCTTCCGCGAGGGTAGGACGAGCACGATGAGAGAAAAGGAGGGATCGAGTTCGGTGAAAAATTGCTGCGGAACTACGTGGATCCAGATCTTGAAAATAGTCCTGTACCCGTCAGGGTACACGGTCGACGCGTTCGCCGTCGAGATTTATTTCGGCAACGATCCTCGTAACGATCGCGGCAGAAGTTTATCGGATCGCATCGTTCGAGACAACTCGTTGGACGACCAACGGAAATCGTTATTTCCATCGAACAATTTCTTAAGAACGATTAACGACCAAAGTAATCCTGCAGTTGCAGTTGCAGTCGCAGTTTTAAAAAGTGGCGTTAAACGCGCGTTCGTCGACTACCGCGGAACCTAGAAAAAACGGATGATCGAGTCGTGGAAAAGTGCTAAAAGTGCTCGCGGAGATCGAAAGCGAGAGAACACGGCAGAGGAAAAACTGTGTTGCAAAGAGGGGGGAGGGCATAAACGAAGTTCGACGAATGTCAAGAAAAGAAGCGAAGCGAACGGGTACGAGTACGAGAGAGGAAGAGACGGAGATGGAGACGGAGATCGAGGATCCCGTGATCCAGGGTGAGATAGGTGTAGAGTATTCGCGCAACGGCTCCGCGGAAATCAATACTCGCGACGCCGAGGCCGAGGCCGAGGCTCGGGCCGAAGCCGAGGCTGTGGCTGAGGCTGCCGAGAGCGGAGAGCCGAGGGCCGAGGGCCGAGGCTCGAGACGCGGCGTAACAACCCCGTGTCGCGCCGCGTCGCGACGGTGGCGAGCGAAAAAGGTCCTGGGGTTGTCGCGAGGAGAGGGTCCACCGTGAAATCTCAAAAGATTAAATGGAACGCGTACGAGTCGCGAAGCCACACCAGTCAGCCAAATTTGCTACGACCAAGTACATGTAAAAAGCTTGGTAGTGTACTTTGCGAGCAAATTTATGTCAATTTTTGTGCAAAAATACTGCTTTTGGTTCGCATTTTATATGTATTTCGCTAAAGCCAAATTCCTGGCATAATACGGAAACAGATGTTCGATATTTGGAAGCAGACGCTTCGCGTTGTCGAATCAATGGCAAAGTTGGCGCAATCTTGTAGCGAAACGTTTTATGCGAATGGTCGATAGCACGCTTGCTTCGCGATTCCACGCGTCGTTCTTGCGCCGGAGCCTCGCCAATCTGCTCCGCGTCGTTCCAATTTTCGCGTATCCACCGCCGAAGCGAGCGTTAACATTTTACCAGTTAAAAGAGGTTTAAAAGAGCCTTAAATTCGCCGTAGCGAATTTTATCCTTCTTCGCGACAACTGCTTCGAGTTGGACTCGTTACGAAGATACGGAACGTAATTCGTCCCGAAAGGGCTAAAGGAAGAAAACTATTCCGACGCTTCGCGTTCGCAAACGACGCGAAGAATTTTTATTTTGCGCAACGACGCGCAACCTTGCGTAAATTTGTCGAACGCGTCGCAACCGTTTCCACTCGAGTCTCGATGAAATTTCTGCGAGAAGTTTTCCAGGACGCCGATCCAACGCGTCGGAGAAGTTGGCGCATGTTGGCTGACATCGTTCTTTAGGCAAGGAGTGGGGGCAGATGGGAGTCCCGCACAGCGGCGTGGGGCGTCTACCAGGCGAACATTACAATTCTGAACTACGATCAGACAGAGGCTTTACATTGCGAACCAAGGTTCAGAGAATTACAATGTTCACCAGGTAGACTCCCAAAAATGCGTCCAGAAAATATTAATTCAAAAAATTAATCCCCCAAAAAAGTATTCAAAAGTTATTTCTATATTTCAAAAAGATTGTCCTTTCATATTCTTCCGAAGTTTAATATTTTCTTGTTAACTAAACTTTTACTTGTATTTGGAAGCATTTCTTGACGAGGAGAAGGTTAATAACTTTTATATTCTCCTTTAGGGGATTAGTTGTTCTCCATTTTCTAGATGCATATTTAACTAAACTTGTTAATTGGAAATGTTTTTTTTCAGGCAATTATTGTATACAAAATGAAGACGTACAAAATATATTTTAGAATCCTCGTTTCTTGTGTTTAATCATAGGTACCGCATTAAGGTCAGCCCATTCAAGAAAAATATGTTTTATCTGAATTGCACATTGAATCATAGAAAGGCAATCTCCTTCAGCAGTGTGCGCATTTGGAGAATCGGTACCAAAGAAATGTTTATAGATAGTTCTTAATTTAAAATTACTTGGTTTACTATTTTTTAAATGTAATGTTTCCCTTCCTCCATTAGAGCCTCTATTCGTCGATTTTATATTAGGTTGTTTAATAATACTTCTTTCGGGTCTTCTCTTGTTAATTTCCCATTCTTCTTCGTAGTAGTAATCGATTCGAGGAGAATTGGAACAGGCATCGCCTTCTTCGTTGTCACGCATGACAGTGTCTAATGCATCCGATAACATTTCATTACAACCATCGTTTAACAAAATATCAACATCTTCAGAAATACAAGTAGCACCGCTTTTAATACTACTAAAATAATCTTTAATTAAAAGCATCATGTCAATGCTACAAATTGCTTTATCGACATTCTGTAATAACAAAAACAAATTATATAAATACAAGCACATAAAAATAATTAAAAGATATTAGACAGATAAATGGTAGTATTAATATTATTAACTGTTTTTTACCACATTAATATTTCCAAGTTCCCATAATAATATAGGGTAATCGAATCCGTCCCCATTGTACGCGACGAAACAAATTGGTGGTGTAAGTCGATTTATGAAACTTACGATTAAATCATATGTATCGCGAGTAAAAGATCCAACGTCGTTTACGCTTTCATTCGATAAGCCTAAAATAGAATAATTGTGATTATTAATAATTAAGCGAACGATAAATTAGTTAATAAAATCAGCAGAAATTAAAGTATAGCTTAAAAGTTCTTAATAATAGTACCGTGCGGTAGTTAGAACAGAACAATGAAACTTTTTCAAGCGATTGCAATGGCTACGTTATAAAAAGTAGGACCTAACAAGATTACATGTTGCAAGAAGCATCGGTATCCATTAAACTAATGGATAACGATATACTTCTCAAACGTATGTTCGCGTTATAACAGCTTGTAGTAATTTCCATTAACCGTCTCGAATGTTTTTCTTCGTAAAATATAGGGGAATTCTTACATAATTATTGTAATATGACAAATAAAAAGTCTAACAACATGCATTTTTTAATTCCCAAGATAATAAGTACGGGAGAACACGCGCCTAAGACAATGCTATATTAGACGGAACAACACTGGTTTTTGGTACATGGTACATTCGAATAAAGAGTAAACTTGGTAAGACGATCGACCTACGGTGAGATATAAAAATATTAGATTTGAAACAGAAATAATTGAATCGAAACCACGCTTGTACAGATAACCATAAATATTGTTTTATTTTAATAATAATGATATAGTAGAAACTAAAATACCTGTTAATGTTTCAATTTCCTTAGGTATCTCTCTGACTGGATTTATTGGTAGAACTAATTTACTCAACACTCTTGGTAAGGTTCCTGTTTCAACAGATATGGCATTTCTTGATACTGCTATTAATGATAATTCTGCGATTTTTGGCATGCATTTTGTTATTAATCCAGTTGTTTCGGTGTCAAAAAAAATATACGTTTGAAACATATTAACATTTATGTACAATAACCTATCAGTTAAATAAAATTAATATTGTAAATATGAATCAAATACACACATATTTGAAATATATATAACATATTCATATTGAATTATTATCTATTATTATATTTAATATTATTATATATAACATAAGAATCGATTTTTTAAGGCGATTTTCGATTTCTTTGAATTGATTTTTGGATAGCAATCAATTTTCAATTCAAAGTTACCGTAATGCCATTAACTATTGTAGAATAGATTTACAATTTATTGCCTTTAAACGAATGATTAATAAATAAATCAATAAATAAATAAATATACTAACCAATTCGAGCGAGAACAATGGGCAATTAAGAGACCGGCTGGCCGCACACTATGACAACCTACACATAGAAGAAAAGCCATATACGTATATTAGTTTAGAGGTTTACATGCACTAGAACTGACGCTTTAATATCGAAGTGTGCAGTTCACAAGTGGACAATTTAGATTCCGAAAAGACTAAACTCGAGGGCTCCGGTTGTAGAAATATCCGTTTTGCAGTTATTGCGGAGATATTTGCAATATTCGGCCAGAGTGGTGTCAATCTCACGAGCATGACGTCACAAGATGGCCGCCGCTAACAGTTTTTCGTAAACATCGAGAGATTTAAAGCTCGAATCGAAAATTTACAACCGAAGTCGCCGAGATAAGGCATGTACAAAGGCAGTGGAGTGTATTTTCAGTTGATTACTTAGTTAATTAAGACATACGGCTAGTGGATCTGAATTGTATCCGTAACACCACCTCGAGCTTCCGACATTCTTCGCTACTGGCGCCACGGTTCTCTTCCAAGCAAATATGCACCACGGACGAGCTTGTCGGTGACTATAATTAGTTACAGTCGGTAATACGTGTATCGACAAATTACATAGTTTTATACTTCTATTGGAAATATTTCGAATGGAAATACGACTAAACATGGTTGCCACATTTCATTCCTCGCCGCAATGTTGCCATGTCGTCAAAACCGTTTCACAAACAGTTTCATGAAACTGATTCCTGCTTCACGAGCCCGTTCTGGCACGCGCTAGGTTTCTAGTGACCAGGGGAAGGTGGCAAGCGGGGCAGTCATTTCGTACACATATACCTTCTTTCAAATAAAAGTAATAATAAAACTTGTAAGAAAAAGAATTAATATCATATATTCATTTAAGAAATATAATCCAAGTCATAATCCTAATAGATGTTATAAAATATAAAATATATAAAATTTTCTGATTCGTCCGGTAGTGCTACCGAGAGACTCGCATTCGTTCTGATTCGCGAGTTTACATTCAAACGGAATTGTAAAAGACTGTGCAAAGAGAACACTATATTATCTTAACGTGTAACGTTCTAGTGTCATAAACAGAAACTGTAAATACTTATTAAGCGATTTAGAACAATGGAAAGTGCGGGTACAAAACGAATGTTGACTGCCACGCGTGTTTATAGCGAAATGTCCTTCGGGCCACCCGTGCCGCTGTAGGAAGCGTACGCTTTTGATGTTTCTCTGTTCCTGTGCGAAGCAAGGCGAGATTCCGACGTCTCCGACGCCTAATCTAATCGCACTGGATATGCTCTTATAAACACTTACACGTATAAAAACGCGCGAACCTCCGAATAAAGTAGTCATCGACCAGTTCGATTCTAACCAAGCCACACCTTGTTCGTCTCATTAAAAACCTTCGGGGTCGCGATTCGCGACCAGAGATACGTTGATTTAAACCTAGACATACCATCCGCTGTATTTAATTCTTAACCAGCGCATAAAGTAACGGAAACCTGAAAAATCGAGCATTCGCTATAAGTCGAAATAGAAATAAATTGTTCGAATCGTTCGCGACCCATGCGTATCGGGGTTAAGGGTTAAATCGTTCCAACGCTTTGCTAGAGTACGTTACGATGAAAATTTGTTTGGAAAGTCCGATAATAAAATCTGATAAAATCGACGATCGATTCGATTCATCGGCAGAAGCTTTCGTTTCGTAATCGCGACTTTGTGCTGTAATTTATAAATGGAAGATCGATTCCCACATAAATGGGAACGCGGTAGCAATTCGATTTAGAAAATTGAATTAAAGGTACGGAACGGGACGCGATTGTTAATGGACGTTTATATACGACCGTAACCGGAGCCGACGATCTTTTGATCTTTCGGCTCCCCTAGCACGCAGTCGGCAGTTCCATTTACCACCATGTACACCCTTTGTCCTACGACGCGACGCGCGACGCGCGATACGATCGAAAAGCGGCCACCGTCGTGCGCCGATCGTCGATACGATACCGGTGTGCTGCGCGAGGGGATTATTCGTTGAAATTCTATCTCGATACGATGTTTAATACGAAATCGTAATTTCACATTTTCCCTGTTTGTTTTACAAAGCGGTTACCGTTAAACGAACAGCTTATTCGACCGTTGCTTCTCCATTTCGCAACTTCGGCTCGAACGAGTTTACACAAATTTAACCTCCGATTTCTAAGTTATTCGCGCGTATGATAATGAAATGCCGCGATACCGAGGCGGTACGAACAGTTTCGACGTCGATCGTGAATCCGATCGTAAATAATTTCGTTGAAATATATTCCTGGGTTTGGTAATATCGATGTTTGTGCCGGGATCGCAAATTCTGGAAAGCGTTGTTGTTACAGTTGATACGCGAGGGCGCGTATAAATTTGTAAGCGGTGAAACGAGATCGATCGGTACCGGAATCGGTACGGTTTCCCACGAATTGTCACGGTTGATACGGAAACGCGATTACGGATACATCGATACGATCGCGGAACGCGATACTTTTGTTTCGAAAACGCTTAATAATTTTCCACGAAGACGACGCGTAATTACGCTGACCGTAACACGAGACACTTGCGCGTAGACCAACGACGAATCGAAACTATCGATCGTTAAATTTTGTTCTTCCAAGGATGCTAAGAATACCGCGAGAGATTCTAATCCTAAACCAAAACGTTCCGCGAGAAACGGCGACGTTCAGCGATAATAGGTGTACGTGATAATTTGCGAACGTGGGCGATAAAGCCCGCCGTTGGGCACAGAGAGATGATCCGGGGGGGATGTTGTCGGTCTCGGGGGTAGTAACGGTAACGAGCAGGCAGCGAGCAACGAGAACCAGAGAATTCGATCAAGGGGAGGTTCCGATTTAGAACCGAAAAAAATAATCGACTTTCTTTCTTTCGTTTTTCACTTTCTACGAGGCGAGATAGCCTCGCGCGTCGCGAGATTCGATCGTCGTACGAAATGGTGATCGATACGAAATGCAAGATCACGTTCGTACGTTGGCGAAAAAGCAAAATCGCGTTACTTTGTTTTTCCGTTCGTCGAAAGTGATTTACTATACGTATTATAGTTGATCCGATATAATATCTGGCGAAAGGAAAAAACATTTGTACGAAAGTTCCACGAAACGGGGGACGATGACACCGTCCGGATGCGATGTCCTTGCAGATGTTTGCAACGGGGGATGAGCGCTTCGCGCGAGGACACTTTCCCCGATTCGCTTTCGCGGAAAACAACTGGGATCCTAAGGACGAGGCTAAGGATCGATACCATGGTTCCAATTGGAATTGGAACGCGTTCGAGTCTCGGTATCCGGCCAATGAGACGTCTCTTTCCGACGATAAATCATAACGATCAGGGTGCTTCCGCCGTAGAAAAGATAATCTGGAACGCGCTCGATCCTGCCACAAACCGTGCGCCGAGTTGGCAAATAGATTCCACGAAATTTGGAGAACTTATTTGAAAAATGTTTCTTTTATAAAGAACAAAGTTTACGATTGCGAACGATTACGATTATTTCGTCGAAATTGTAAACGAATCGGTTGACATTTCTTACGTTATTCTTTTCAGCGGTACACGGTGCGAAACGAAGTACAGAATCGAGTCGTACGCATTGGGATTATGCGATACAAAAAATGAGAATCGAACGCTAACGACCGAACGGTGTAACGGAAATATAGGATACTTCCAGCTATACGTGTCGCACGTGCGCGATATCGCGCATTACGATCGCTACTTGCGCGATCGTAACGCGCAATATTAATTGCAACGACGACAATTCCCGAGCTTTGGATTTACAATTTGAACGCGAATACGCTCGAGATGCCAACGGTGGTCGAAAATTGTGCGAAGAAATAGACGTTTCGGTTTTCATTTTTACGTGGAAAACAACTCGCGAAGAAGATGCCGCGGTTGCGCGAGGGATTCGAGAAGTTTAGACTATTTAACGGCATAATTCTACGAGTGCGACTTGCCGGAAAACTCATAGATAGCGATACCGGGTGAAACGAGGGGAAAAGTGGCGCGGAAAAGACCGATCAATATCTTCGATTCCAAACGAGCACAGCGCCGCTTCGGGTTGCCGAAGACGCATGTGCAACCGAGTCCGAAGTCTGTGCCAGCAACGAGACTTTCCCGAACCGAGAATCTCTTTGTCGTTTCTTCCTGCTATCGTTTCACGGTTTTCGGTAAGTTTCCCTTTCGAACAAAGTCGATTCGACGGTGCTTCAATTTTATACAGGTAGCTGGTTCGTATTCGAAAAACTTCCGTTCTCCGATTCCCAGTGCGCTGTACGTACGTGTGCGTATGGCAAAGTGTCGAGAGTTGATCGGTCCGAATAACGTGTACGAAACCGGAGTTCGTTCGAATCGCGTTGTCGCTTGCAATTAATTTGCCGTTATCGTTCCTTTTCTTTTTTTTTGTTCGATTCGGTATTTCGTTGTACTCGATTTAGAGAATATTACGACGTAATCGTAGATAAACTAAATTGACTCGATATCGAATAATTAGCCGAAGCTGTTGCAAAGTCGTTGGCGTATAAATTATGTTATTTCCCGAATATAATATATATATATGTGTGTATGTATATAACGAGTAACGCGTAAAATCTCTTGCTCGAGTATGCCAGAGAAGAACACCGTTCTCGCTATGAAATCTTCGAGTTTGCACTTTCGATTTCGTGCTAATTATACAAGGATTTGTTTTTGTTAAAATTTTCGTCAGATGGTAGATGTCGGGCGTATCGTGAATTTTCAGATATCCTCGAAACCATGTACTGGATCCTACTTGTCGCAGCAGCGGTCACCGCGGTACGAGCGAACCTATATTTACCGCCGATAGTCAAGGTACGAGTTCTCGAGCACTGCTTCTCGCCTACGATCGCCTAAAACTAATCTCCGATCTATCGATCGATCGTAGGAGGATCAATTTCTGGTCGATAGTTTCCTCCGTAAATTGCAATTGATCAATCAAATGAGAGACGATCTGGCGGATGCCGCTGACCCGTACATGGAGTATCAGGACAAACCGAAAGAAATTCCGATCGAATTGCCGGCCGACTTCGATGGCATCGATACCTTGAATCCTAATCCTAGCATTCGCGATCAAGAATACTTACGACACAGCTCGCTGTACAGTCATCAGCGGTTGAACAACAAAGAACCCGACGGCAGACAAAAAATAAAGCCTGGTAGTACAAAGAGCATCAAGGACGAGAAGACTGAAAACACCTTACCCGCGTACTGTACACCACCGAACCCGTGTCCTATCGGATACACCGGTAAGCGATAACGTCGGTCGATCTCTTGGTAATCGATATGGATGAAAACACGTGTTAAATGTAAGAACGGCTCGTCGTTTTTCGAAGAAAATTAAATATATGCAACGTCGCGCGACAACGATGTTTCCACGTTGTTATGTTACGGAAATATTTCTGCGATGTTGCTTTATAAATAAATGTTGTTATTTTGTGCAGGTGAAAACAATTGCATCGTAAATTTTGTGAATACAGCTGCGTTCAGTCGTGACTATCAAAGCGCACAGGATTGCATGTGCGATTCGGAACACATGTTGGATTGTCCTGTTGATTCGTCGAACAGCGATAGCCTATCGGACGTGCACATACCCAGCTCGAATTTCAACCAAATCGTCGATCAAATCCAAGCTGTAAGATGCGCATCGACCGCAAGCATGATACAGGATGTCCCAAAATTATGTTGCTTCTGGGAAACGAGGGATTCCCGAAGCGTCGTTGCAAGCAAGTTTTTCTTTAGCGGAAATCTAATCCGCGGCTTTGTTTACGAGTACACGCGACGCATACGCTTTCTCTCGATCGTCTCCCGTTCTCTTTACCTAAAATCTTCACGGTGGATGAAAAGCTTCTCGAATTGTGTGGGAGAAGCAAAAGCTCCCGAGTTGGGAAAGACGATCTATCGCTATCGCCTAGGCTTCGACCGCTTTGCACCAGCCGAGCTCGCCCCCCTCTCATTTCCCGAAAATAACATAATTTTGGGACATCCTATATTTCGATTATTCTTCAAAATCATCGCAGCATCGTTGAAATCGTTTAGGAATACCAAATTTAATCTACCGCAACATTGTTTCAGGACGAGAATCCGTTCTTCAGGGGTGAAAAGTTACCTATCGCAGCGAAGAAAGGTATAAACGTCGAGTATTAGGGCTTTCGCGACATATATTTTCGTGTCAGGGAAAAGAATTTCGAGGAACGAACCAAGAATATTGAATTAAAATATTTCAAAATATATTGATCGTAATTCATCGGACGCATAGCCCGCTAGATAAATAATATGGTTTATAAAGGCCAGGTGCTAATTAAGAAGATTCAAACATTTGATTATCGTGCTGTTACAACTGTACACGCACGGTTCATCGGACACGTGTGATTCGTGTATCGTGCGAATAACCGGTGTTTGCGCAGACATATACGTTTTAAACGACAAATCTTACAAATATGTATTGTTTTTAAATATTGCATTTCGATAACGAGAGAATCTCGTTGTTGCTTTACAAAATGATAAATATTATTACCGAGACCATCAAAAATTACACGCATACGTTTTATAAACCATATGCTGCTGAAACCACTATGAACAACCCTTAACGTGTTTCGCTTAAGCGAACAAAAAATAAGCTCCGCCAAATGCACTCTATTTACCAATTATATTTTTATTTTCATACGATAATAAAATATCGATTACTATTTTTATTGTTTATAGTATTCGTAAATACATACACATTTTGAAACAGTAATTTGTACTTATTTCCTTACATACTATTCTATACGTATAAGACATTTAATGCTATACTTATAATATTAAATTAATTGCATTTTCTTCGTCTACCATGTACGGAAGACACTTTTATATAAAAACTAAACGATTTCTGACAAAATAATAACCGCTGCAAACATGGAAAAGAGTATTAAAAAGCTACGATAATATATTACTGTTTCCTGAAACTTTTCAATATCGGATATATATTGTTTAACGCGTCTTGTAATTCAGTTCGATTCTTTGCTCCTGGAACATATTTTAAGAAACCTATATAAAATCTAATAAAAAGGAAACAAGAAATACCGTCGAATAGTGTCAATTTTACATAAAATATTTACCTGTTAACACAATCTTTCCGTTCACAAATATAAGTAACACGACTCTTGGCGATACCATTCTGTATATAAGACCAGGATAAAGTTCAGGTTCGTAGCTAGAAAACTGACCGTGTATATGGTTCAAGTTCTCCAGTTTAATTGGAAATTTCAAATCGCAAGTGGCAACTATATTTTGTATTTTAAAATTATAAAATTTTATCTGTTAGAACGCAAAGCACAGTAATCCATGAAAATTCAATAACGAAACATTAAAAATTTTCATTTTTATGTTACGGCGATTACCATATAATGCGTGTCCTTACTTGAAATCCTAGTTTCTGAATTATTCTAGCAAACTTTCTCGTTGCTAAATAAGAGTCTTCTTCGCATCTGGCTCCTGTACACACTAATTTTCCAGAATGAAAAATTAGCGCGGTGGCCCTAGGATTCCGTATTCTCATAATCAATCCGGTAAATCTTGCCGGATTGTATTCGGAATTTCTAGTTCTAGTGTTAATATACATAAGTGCTAATTCTATACCTAAATTGACAGTCGACACTACGTTCCTACAAAAAGAATTATAGTAAAATATTTTTAATAAACAGATGAAAGAGATTGCACGATTAGATCATATATATTTTATACGTACTGCAAACAAGGTTCTATCACTTCTTTTGTACTACTAGCCGGTGTCATCGGATTTATCATCGATTGAAGATTCGCATTGTGCGACGTGCTCGGCCGAGGAACGTTTGCCTAAATTCGGATACAGACATCAAATAAGTTTAATTAATGTTCCATATCGCGTAAACATATTTTCAAAATTACCGTTTGCGGTGGGGCCATTGATCCTTCCTCGTTGACATTTTTCGCGGGGTTGCCTAACAACTTCTTCAGTTCATTGTCCTCTTGCGTGACTGTAGTCATTTTACCTGTATCTACCGCTAAATAATTATAAAATCTTTATAACCTCATACACTGCCATCCATTTTAAACATCCATCGCACGTAATCTGTTATGTTATCGACTATCGACTGCCTATCGACTGCCTATCGACTGATCATCTTATCACTTTAATGCACGCGGTAATCACAGAATATAAAAGGCTGTTACGAAGTAACTGCCGCCTATGTATTTCGTACGTATTGGCTGATATTTCGGAATGCAGACGCATGTATGCAGGCATAGAGCGTTCGCGAGAAGATTACATAACCAGAGTTGGGCAAAATGTTTATCTAGATACAAATTTCGAATAACGAATAAAAGATACGCAAAAAGTATTCTTATTCGACAAGTATCGAATAAATAATTTCATTCGACGAGAATTTATCCGACGAATAAAGACACTTCTTTTATTCAAAGCGTATTTATTAGTAGCGTCGAATAAAATTTTCATATTTTACCTATATCTTTATTCGAAGGTTTCGAATAACTTTCTCCACCTCGGAAAAATCTTGTCGCCGAGCGTCGTGTCTCGAACACCAAAGACCCAGAAACTGACCAAAAGCATACAATGCAAGCAGGTAGAGAATCAAATATTATTGAGAACTATTAGTAAAAAAAATGACTGTTGGTAATTCGGCTAATAGTTTGAGCATTCCGCCACTGTCCCAATCGACGTTCCGTACAGATACCAAACAGCGGTTCGCTTTTCCCCCACAAGAGGCGCCCATGATCGTCCACATCTGTCCAATGTAGGGTCGTTTAAAAACATTAATTTTGGCAAAATTCAGGCATGAAAAACTATCCCAAGGATATGGAACTGTTCAGGAGGATCTACTGTGTCGATATCACATACAAACACAAATAACAATGTTGCGAAACGTAATTAATTACTCGTCGCTCGTACCCCGCATCCATGTGTGTTTATGTACACACATATGTATGTATACTATGCACATATGTGCATTGCAAGGATCGGGATCTGGGTGAAGCTCGCAAAACGAGTTTTATGCGTGTCGATTACATGATTACAGCTGAGAATGAACGTCGATGAACACCGGTAAACACCGTGCTTAGAACATATGTATGTAATCGAGTGATAACTAAACTCGGCTGTAGAGTGGACTTGCACTTATTTGCCTATCAATATGGCTGAATATGGGGCTGACGATCGATACGACGTCTCCTTCCGTCTTTAACCTCAATCTGCTGCAACCAGGATCAACCAGGCTTTGCCTTTGTGTACATATATCCATACCTTGTATAATATAATTTTTCGCAACAGTATTCTATATATCCTCAACAATGTCTTTAGCAGTTCGACACTGTTTATTAATTCAAAGAAAGTTCTGTTTCCATAACTTTGCTTCGCAAAGACAGACGATCGCATCTTTTCCAGGCAACATTGGAAATTTTCAGGTTAGGTTAATTTTTTGAAACAATATAGATATTTAACATGATAACGAATTGAATTTAAAAACAATTGTTGATTACTTTTAAAGGCTTTATTTACGATACAATTGCATGTGTTTAACAAAAGTACAATTTTCTTTCTAGATAAAATTTTAGTAATTTTAATATATACAATTTTATTGTGCCATAGAAATTTACTCGGACCCTGCAAATCAAATATTTTCATGCAGGGGATAATGGAGAAACGAATGTATCGCTTATATATACCGGAAAGTTGAAAAAACGTATTCGAGATATCAAAGCATTTGCTTTATTAACTTCGTGTGCATGTTTAGCAATTCAGCCAATTATTTATATGAGATGTATGGAAATGGAGAAATCACTATTCACGATGAGTGCAGCATTCATTATGCTCCTGTATACTACATGTTCTCCAGGGATTATACACTATTTATTAGGAAGAAAATATGTAATCGAACTATATTACAATCCTGAGAAGAACGAATACATTGCAGTGACATATTCCCTTTTCAACCGGCGAATTCGGGTAATTTTAACAATTTTACAGATTTATTTGCATTTGTATTTAAATTTTATTCCTCTATATAGCATTTATATATGGATAAAATGTTTCAGACCGTATTTACAGAAGACGAAGTGGTCGTACCCGATGTACTTGGGCCATTTACAACGTGTTATGTAAGAGGAAAACCATTGTTCTTAAACGAAGAGCAATTTCTACATGTAGAATATTTCCATAAAATCATGGGACACTACAAACCGATAGATTTTCATTTAAGCCGTAACGTAGAGAAGGAGAAAAGCATGAAGGAATAAGAACAATTTTAAGTTTGAAACAATTTTATTTATTACACAACCTCCGAATTTAAAACTTTAATACATTACTTGTAGTCTACTATAAGTTCCTAGGTATAAAATATGTACAATACATTGTTATGTTGGCATTGTGTACTGAAAAAAATATATAGTACAAAATGATCGCAACATACAAATTGAATTAATTATCCAATGTTTAAACATCACAATTTGAAACATTATTATACATTTTCAAGACGTCACACGTAATTTTTACCCCTCGTCTGTTCAAAAATATTCTGTTGGCGTGAAAGATTTTTAGTAATGCACGTAAAGCTTTGCATTGTATAAAGTTACTAAATTATATTGGATAAAAAAGAAAGGCGATCATGTTTTTTTACACACGAAACCATTGCAGTTTAATTGTTGCTGAAAGAATATCTTTTCGATATTGAAATAAATAGGATCGCTATTTATGAACGTAT